CCATTATTTCTTAGTGGAAGTGTTGCCTTTAAAGCAAGAAATCCATCAAAAGGTATTGATGACTCCTCTTCTATTCATGAAACAAGGGTGTTTCCACCCCTTTCTATGTTCACAAGTGATGGAGAAGAGAGTTTTTAACATTTTTGATCTAAAACTTCTAACTTTACTACCAAGAAAAATAAATAAATATGAAGAACAACCACTTTCTTAACATCAAATCTTAAAGATCATCCCTCTAGTCCCATGAAACAAGCACTTTGACTCATTTTTCTTTTGTATGAGTTGAAACAAGAAAATTTTATAAACTGCTTATTTCAACTTTTAACTTAATTTATATTAAATTGAGTTTGGTACCAGCTTATACCTTAAATCAAGCTATTTCTCAACTTATCCCAAAAGCGGGTCAGTGAGTGCTTAAATTTTTTACTTAAACGCGCAGCTGGTGTAGGAGGGATAAAATGACTTAAATACCCTCGTCAATACCCAAATATTAATATTAATTCAAAAATAAAAAATTGCATATTTCTAAAGAAAAAAAAAAATCAATATTAATTGGTACTAATTATTAATAAATTCATATTGTATATTTTTATATTAATTAAAAAATAAAAAATTGTATAATTCTGAAGAAAAAGAAAAAGAAAATAATATTAATTAAAAAAATCAATATTAATTGGTATTAATTATTAATAAATTAATATTGCATACTTTTGTAATGAATTAATTATTAATTGATACTAATTAATAACAATTGTTGACTATTAATATTAATTGATACTAATAAAAATTAAATATTAATATTAATTTATACTAATTAATAATTTTAATATTAATTGAGACTAATTAAGCCCTTAATTGATACTAATTAATAACAATTGTTGACTATTAATATTAATTGATACTAATAAAAATTAAATATTAATATTAATTTATACTAATTAATAATTTTAATATTAATTGAGACTAATTAAGCCCTTAATTGATACTAATTAATAACAATTGTTGACTATTAATATTAATTGATACTAATAAAAATTAAATATTAATATTAATTTATACTAATTAATAATTTTAATATTAATTGAGACTAATTAAGCCCTTAATTGATACTAATTAATAACAATTGTTGACTATTAATATTAATTGATACTAATAAAAATTAAATATTAATATTAATTTATACTAATTAATAATTTTAATATTAATTGAGACTAATTAAGCCCTTAATTGATACTAATTAATAACAATTGTTGACTATTAATATTAATTGATACTAATAAAAATTAAATATTAATATTAATTTATACTAATTAATAATTTTAATATTAATTGAGACTAATTAAGCCCTTAATTGATACTAATTAATAACAATTGTTGACTATTAATATTAATTGATACTAATAAAAATTAAATATTAATATTAATTTATACTAATTAATAATTTTAATATTAATTGAGACTAATTAAGCCCTTAATTGATACTAATTAATAACAATTGTTGACTATTAATATTAATTGATACTAATAAAAATTAAATATTAATATTAATTTATACTAATTAATAATTTTAATATTAATTGAGACTAATTAAGCCCTTAATTGATACTAATTAATAACAATTGTTGACTATTAATATTAATTGATACTAATAAAAATTAAATATTAATATTAATTTATACTAATTAATAATTTTAATATTAATTGAGACTAATTAAGCCCTTAATTGATACTAATTAATAACAATTGTTGACTATTAATATTAATTGATACTAATAAAAATTAAATATTAATATTAATTTATACTAATTAATAATTTTAATATTAATTGAGACTAATTAAGCCCTTAATTGATACTAATTAATACTACTTATATTAGCTTTTATTAATGAAATATTTTTTTAAAAAAATTAAAACTGAAAAAAATGACAAAATAATCATTTTTATATCATATAAGGGTAGAAAGGACAATTATACAGTAAAAAGTTATTTTACAGCTTATTAACCAAATACTACTCTGCTGCTTAAATTCATAATCCCATAACTGCACCAAACAGGTTAACAGCTTATGTTCTTAGCTATAAGTCATAATCTGTTAAGTTATAAGCTATAATCTATAATCACTTTTCTACAGTTCTACCAAACAGGGCCAAATATAGCCTTCGTTTGGCATAAGTTAAAAGGGGGCTTTTGGCTAAAATAATTACAAAAGACAAAATAGGCTTTTTAACTCAATAGGACAAAATGCCACATCCAAACCATAATCATTTTATTTTTTCTCTCACAAAAGTAAAAAAAGGTCAAAAAACCTATCCCAAACAAAATTTTTTAACCCCAAACTAAAATAATCAAGAAGTCAAAAAGCCAACTTACATCCAAAACTAACCCTAACATAAAAAATAATAAACGTAGTATTATACAAAATAGAAATTAAATAGGTCAAATTATATTAATAGTCCTTATAGTTTGGGACTTGTGTCACTTTAACCATTGACTTTTCAATTGTGACACATTTGACCTTGAATTTTGAATCTTATTCTAAATAAAGATAATTGAAAATACCATTACTCAATTTCAAGAACAAAGTTATCAATTTGATAAAATATATACTAATTTGAAAAAAATAAATGTAAAAAAATATTTTTTAATTTTTAAAAATTATTTCTATCCACCAAAGATAAAATTACGTAAAATTGATAAATCTTTTAAACATATATTTAATTTTTTTACCAAATTAATTTTTGTTATGTGTTTGGCTAATGATCATGTAATTAAATTAGTTTCTATTTTTTCGAAAGTCAAATATGGCGACAACTTTGATATAATTATTAAACCAATCTATTAAACAAAAAAATCCAAAACTAAAAATATTTCATATAATAAATATATCGATTACACATTAAAAGCCTAACAATTATCTAGTACATGATTATCATCTAAGCACATAATAAAAATTAAATTGGTAAAATAAATAAATAAATAAATGTGTAAAAATTTTATCAATTTTACATAATTTTATCTTTAGTGAGCAGAAATAATTTTTAAAAATTCAAAAATATTTTTTTGATATTATTTTTGTCAAATTAATTTATATTTTATCAAATTGACGATTTTACCATTAAAATTGAGCAATGATATTTTTAATTGTCCTTATTTGAAACAAGATTCAAAATTTATGATCAAATATGTTAATCATGACTAAAGTGACACGAATCCCAAACTATAGGGACTATTAATGTAATTCACTCAATTAAACACAAAACTTTAAGGAGAAATTTAAAGATAATGTTTTTTTATTATTATTTAAAAATCTAACTCTGGTAACAAATCAAATTTTGAGGTTCTAATTTCTTCAATTAAACCTTACATTTTTAATTTGCTTCCAATTCTAACTATCCATCCATCTCTTTTAGTTGATATAACATAATTTATTCTTTAAAAACAAATTTTTTGAAACACACATGACACAAATTTAAATCACTTATCATAAACTTGGTTACATGGAATAAATCTCAATCTCTCCTCTTTCACTCAACTATTCACAATCGCGACTTGCCTTTCCTTTTTGACCAACCACTTCCCTCCATTTCTGACCCGCTACTCATATCCCCTTCTCTTCTTTCTTTACCTTCCTCTCCTTTTTCTTTTCCTTTTCCTTTTTCTTTTCACTACCCAGCAACAACCCCTCTTCTACAACAATCATTTTCTTTAGTGCCTCCCCACCCTATATGGAGCAAGGATCCCCTCATTTACTCTCTTACTTGACTCCTTATTTAATGGGTCATTGAGTTTATTTTTGGGCTTAATTTCGATAATTCAAAGTATTCATATTTTAAAATTTATCATGTATATCATACCTGTAAAAAATCAAATCGATCGGATATCAAAAACCACATGATCTAAAAGTTTTATTAAACAATAAAACTGTTTATTAAATTTTTAATAAACGGTTTTTAATTCTTCCGATATTCGATCAATTTGATTTTTTATAAGTATGATGTACATGACAACTTTTAAAATATAAACAGTTCGAATTATCAAAATTGAATCCAAAAGTAGACCAATAACCCATCAAATAAAGAGTCAAGTAGAGAAGTCGAAGAGGGGATTCTTACTCTCCTATATGCCTCCATTTTCTTTAGTATCTCCCCACCCTATATGCCCCTGGCCTAACGCTCACCATCTCCAACAACCACCCTAAACCATACCCTTAAACTCTACATTACATATTCCAGACGGTCTTCAATTCAAATCTAGAATAGTCCAGTCTAGTTCAACTCATTAGGTCTATTTTTGAACTCTTTTTCGATAATTAGAACCGTTTATATTTTTAAATTTGTTGAGTGCATTATTCTTATAAAAAATTATGCTGATTAGATAACGGATATTGTGTATTCGGATTACTTTTATCTAGAAAAAAAATGGATGGTTAGAAAATTAATTGTTCATAAAAAAGTGATCCGAATACATAGTATTCGTTATCCAATCAACGTGATTTTTTTCAAGAATAATGTACTCAACAAACCCTAAAATATAAACGGTTTGAATTATGAAGAAGGAACTCCAAAATAAGCCCAATGAGCCGGACTGAACCTCCTAGTCCAGATGATAGATTGGAGGCAAGCCCAACCTTACATGTATGCCTATACATCTATATTTATATTCAAATTTCCCGATCAAGAGAGTGAAAATTAGGATTTTAATCATAGTATCCCGATAATGCCACATATATTTTATTTTATTTTTTTGTTAATTGGACAAATAATTAAAATTAAAACTAAATTAAAAGTATAAGATTTAAATTAAAAAATTAAATATCAAGATTTAATTTGTTACGATGATGAACTTTTATTTTTTTTTTTATTTGTAATCTTTCAAAGTATGATCATGATTTTATTTAAAAAAAAAAACCACCGGCCACTGACACAGTAGGTATGAATGGCAGCTTCCACATTATTTATACATCATATTACAAGTCACCAAAATAAAAGTCAGATTCAATACGTAGAAATTCTGATGAATATAATAATTATTATTTAAAGCTTGTCATATGACATCATTCTTTTCCAATATTAGAATAAATAATCATAGTATTAGTTGTAATGATAAGTCTGTCCTCTTTGTCTTAGCACCTTCTTAAGATTCAATTAAAAGCTTCAGACCTTTCTGTTTTCTTTACGTTTCACTTCTCCTCAATATCCTATATATATTAGCCCAACAGCTTTAATATATATATATATATATATTTGTAATGAATTTCGCCGCACAGATGCAATCACTGGCTGTCAAAAAAACCAACCCCCATGTGCGCCTGTTACCTGTTCGGTCAAATGCTTGACAGCAAGCAATTCCGAGAAATTTGTGTGAATAATGCAATGCAGAAAAAGACACACAAAATGAGCTTAGTTGGTTGTTACAATCCAATCCTAATTCCCAATCTTAACTAATTTCAATCATTGTGCAGCTGAAAGTGTACATGATGATGGTCAATAGTCCTCTCTCTCTCTCTCTCTCTCTCTCTCTCTATAAGAGACTTGTTTGCTGATCTCATCATCTTGGACTTTTTTTTTCTAGATGAGTTGCTTGCTTGCAAACCCAGAATTATTATGTGATTTGTCGTTCTGGGTATTGGTTGTATTTGCTGTTTCTTGACTGGTACGCGGGTCATTTTCTTTCTCTATCTGCTCTCTTTTTCTTAGACCCTCATGTGCGTGTTCTCATTTTTATATAGATAAATTTATTGGGAGCTCAGAGATATATTATTGGGATTTGTGTTTCTGGGAATTGCCTGATTGGTTCACATCTGCTACTTGGAAGGTCAACAGCCACTATCTCTCACTCAAGGCTTTCGTTTCATATGCCACTTTCATTATTTATTCCTCTGTGGATGCATTCCCTGCATATCCAGAAATATTTTGGGATTGGTGTTTCTGGGTCCTGTTTTTGTTGTTTTCTGATTGATTGATTGATTTATGGGTAATTCATTGTTCTCTGTCCTTTATTTGTCTTTCCTTTTTCTGGGTATTTGTTATTCTTTGTCTAATGGTGACCAAGAGAGAGATAAGATCACAGAGTTACCTGGGCAGCCAACCAATGTTGGTTTCACTCAGTACTCAGGTTATGTGACTGTAAACCAGCAGGCTGGGAGGGCTTTGTTTTACTGGTTGGTTGAGGCTCCGGCGAGCCGTGGCGCTGAGTCAAGGCCACTCTTGTTGTGGCTCAATGGAGGGCCTGGTTGTTCTTCTGTAGCCTATGGAGCTGCTGAAGAGGTTGGACCTTTCCGTATTCGTCCTGATGGGAAGACCCTTTACCTAAATCCATATGCTTGGAATAATTGTAACTTTCTTGTCTTTAGTTCCAACATTGTCTCCTTCGATCTACATCACAATGTGTTTGTGTTTCTAATTTCATTTTCTTAATTTGTTGGTAGTGGCAAATGTGCTTTTCCTTGAATCACCAGCTGGTGTTGGTTTTTCATATTCAAATACATCGTCAGATTTATATACCGCAGGTGACCAGAGAACAGGTAATGCTCCATAATATTTTTTATGATAGTTTGCAATTAACAATATGTTTTCACTGATCTGTTTGGGCTTGAGTTGTGGGTAGAATGAATTGGGTTTCATGGATAATGTTATTTTTGCTTAAATTTGTAAATTCTGACTTTTGATGATGTTTTCTTTTGATCTGATTGCTATGAATTATAGCTGAAGATGCATATACATTTCTGGTCAATTGGTTTGAAAGGTTTCCACAATACAAGCATAGAGATTTTTACATTGCTGGAGAAAGTTATGCAGGTGCTTTGATACATTCCCTTTTAACTGTTTTATTGTAGAATCCTGCATGATCTTGAGCAACAATCATCCTACTCTTTTTTTATTTTATTTTTATTTTTTTATATATATCTGTTCCAGGTCATTATGTTCCCCAACTGTCTCAACTTGTTTACCAAAGAAACAAGGGAATTCAGAATCCAGTAATTAATTTCAAAGGCTTCTTGGTATGATTCATGAGAATTTTAATGATATGGTCTCTGTTACCATTGCTTAATGTCAGTGAATCTTCCAATAAATTTCTTTATTTATTTTTTTGGTTTAATGAACTAAATTTCTTTTAGGTGGGGAACGCTGTTACTGATGATTATCATGATTATATTGGCACCTTTGAGTACTGGTGGACTCATGGTTTGATTTCTGATTCTACCTATAAAATTCTCCGAGTTGCCTGCGACTTTGGGTCCTCTCAGCACCCATCAAGTGATTGCATGAAGGCTCTGACTGTTGCAGTAAGGGAGCAAGGAAACATCGATCCATATAGCATTTTCACACGCCCTTGCAGTAATACTTCATCTCTGACGCATAACTTAAGGGGTCATTATGTAAGTATCATTATTTCTCACCATCAAAATGTTTAAAAGAGGTCTTATAGTAGTCACCAAATAAACTCAATCAGTGTGTTTGGCTTGAGTTTTTTAAATTAAGTTTTTTGAAAATTGACTTTTTTGGTTTTTGTATTTTTTTGTTTTTAGTTAATATTTTTTAAATTTTAAACATTTTTTTTTTACTTTTTTAGATGCACCTTACTTAGATGTATCTAAAAAGTAAAAAATTTGTGAAAAAATATTTTAAAAAATTAATAAATACATAAAAATATAAAAAATATACTGAATTCTTGTAATTTTTTTTGTATTTTTGGTATTTGGTAAATTTTTAAAAGATTTTTTTATAATTTTTTTACTTTTTAGGTGTATTTATGTTAGGTGTATCTAAAAAGAAAAAAGTAAAAAAGTTATTTAAAATATTAAAAAAATTCAGTAAAAATAAAAAAATACGAAAAATAAGAAAGTATAATTTTTTGAAAAATAAAATCAAGCAAGGTGAATAGGATTTAGATGCCAAAACCTGTATACACCAACTAGACATGTTTGCATACTCTGTAGTCTGACATGATGTTTCTTATCTGAAACAGTCCTTCAGTATCATCTGTATATATAGTACCAATTTCACGATTAAAAAATGTATGGCACCAAGTATAACTTTGTGTGTGGAGGTTATTTGGGGAAAAAAAAAAACTCAGGACCTGATTGACATGGCTATAGTTTGTCAAGAAATCAGTTTAGAAAGAAAAACTCGGAAGGAATTAGGACAAGGTTTACTTAAGCTAATAAATGTTGACTCGCTGTGCAAAGGAGAATATGTAGTAGGCACGGATACGGAATACGGGTATGATATGATACGGATATGACAATACGATAAAATTTGAAAAAATAAGATACGGATATGGCAGAAATACGTTCATAAAAAATATTATTTTTACAATTTTTAATAATGTAGCATGCATAAAAATAAAACTTCAACAATTAATGCAATTCAAATTAAGGGAGAAAAAATTTATAAAATTCATTTATTTATCAATAAATTTATTTATTTTTTTATTCAGACAAAGTTTTTAATTTTATAAGTTTACAAAGTTCATTAATAAGTTTATTTATTTATGTATTAATAATTTTTTTACCTTATTTGATTTATTTTGTTTTATAAGATAATACCGAATACATACAAAGTTTTTTTTTTTAATATCTTATTTGATTTATTTTATTTTATTTTATTTACAGAGTATATATACAAAAAAATAAATAAATATGTGACTGCAACAAAGAGCGACAGACTATATAGATAAAAGGGAGAGAAAGAGAGAGATCGACCGAGAGGGGGGAGATGAGATCGAGATCTGTCCATCTCCACCCAGACCAGACTGATTGAGCGAGAGAGAGAGAGAGAGAGTGAGATCGAGCGAGAGGGAGCGAAAGGGAGAGAGAGAGGGACGAACCTGATCGACGATCGTCGAGCTGCTGTTCGAGACGAGAGACGACGACGAACTCCTCCTTCACGGCTGGCTGCTGTTCGACCTAGGTAAGTTTGGTTGATTATTTTTATTTTTTTTTGGTTTTATTTTACCTTATTTTGATATTTTATACTTAGACCCTATTTTAAGTTTTTGAAATTATTTTTTTGCCTCGCCGTATCCTGAAAGTATTCCGACCGTATCCTCGCGTATCCCAGACGTATCCAAAATTCAAAAATTAAAAAAAAAAAAAATAGGATACTTTTTTCCCATATCTGATACGTAACCGGCCGTATTGGGGGCGCATATCCGTATCCGATACGCATACATGGGCCATTTCGGAGTATCCGTGCTTCATATGGTGTTTTCCTCTTACAATAAGGAATAATCCAGGGACTTGTGTGTTGAGAATCATATGTGAATTTTATTAATAGTTAGTGCATGATTTGAATATTCACAATCGAATCAGGTTACATAAATGTGTTGGGACACCCTAAAGAATCGATAGACAATGCATAAAGTGCCACCCAGTGATTAGACTCTTGCTAAAGTGGGGCTTGGGAAGGGCAAGATATGGATGCGTAACCGACCGTATTGGGGGCGCATATCCGTATCCGATACGCATACATGGGCCATTTCGGAGTATCCGTGCTTCATATGGTGTTTTCCTCTTACAATGAGGAATAATCCAGGGACTTGTGTGTTGAGAATCATATGTGAATTTTATTAATAGTTAGTGCATGATTTGAATATTCACAATCGAATCAGGTTACATAAATGTGTTGGGACACCCTAAAGAATCGATAGACAATGCATAAAGTGCCACCCAGTGATTAGACTCTTGCTAAAGTGGGGCTTGGGAAGGGCAAGATATGTTCAACCTTAGCCCCATTTCTGGAGAGACTATTTTCCAAACTTTCTGTGACTCAAACCCATGCACCAGGGATGCTAACGGCAAGACGTATGCTAACAGCAATGCATCCACTACATAAATTGTCAATTTTCACAGCATGTCTCGATGCAACATTCTGACTGTCCTATCAGTGGAGCCTATCCATTATGTTTGTGTAGTTGTGATAGTTAACACATTTGTTAGAATTGATATATTATTGATTGATATAATATTGTGTATATTACAAATGGTGAGTGGCTCATTATATAGGAGAGGGTGAGTGTAGTAGGTGAGGAGTAGGTGAGGAGTAGGTGGTGGTAGGTGATGGTAAATTGGTGGTAGGTGATGGTAAATTTTAACAGCCCCCCGCAAACTCAAGGAGGATAGAAACTAACCAACTTGAGTTTGGAGAGAGTAACAAAACAAGAAAATACATAAAAATAAAAGAGGATAGGAGACACTGTATGGTCGTGTCAGACCGTTGTAGAAGACTGTATGGTTATGGCAGACCGATGTAGAAGACACTGGCTCGTGTTGGACCGATGTATAAGACAGTTTATTGGGTCATGTCGGACCGTTGTAGCAGACAAGGTAGTGACAGTTGTTGTGACAGTTGTTGTGACAGCTTACGGAGTCTTGCTGGACCCTTGTAGAAACTAACCGGAATCAATGTCGGGATAGTTTACAGAGTCTTGTCGGACCCATGAAGGAGCTAAAGCCCCCTATATCTATACTCTGATTGTGTGTAAATTTTGAAAGTTGGCCTTCGGTAATCTCGGATTACTGGCAACACGGCACTAAACTACGAGGGGCGGTTTGGGGTCGTGACAAGTGTGTTGCTCGAAATCACGGAACACATTTTCCGATGACAATTTGACGTGGGTTCATCAGCCCCACAATGATGCTCTGGTGGTAACCCTACAGATTGGAGAATTTGCTGTCAAAAGGATACTGATAGATTAGGGGACCTCCTTGGAAATCATCACTACAACAAACTACACATTTGGCGACTAAAAAAATTTTAGTCGGCGTTGGTTGAAGGTTTTAGCTACTATATTATTTTAGTCGAGATACAATGTTTATTGGCGACTAAAAAAAAACTTTAGTCACTAAATACAACGTAATAGGCGACTAAAATATTTTTAGTCGGTGTTAGTCGAAATTTTAGGCTACTAATTCTTTATTTAGTCGCCGTATATTGTTATTTGCCAACAAAATAAATTTAGTCGCCAAATAATGGGAACATGTAGATGAACTTTTGATGACTAAAATAATTTAGTCGTTGTATATTAAATTTTTGCCAACTAAAATAAAAATTAGTAGCCAAATGTTAGGTTTGGCTACCAATGTTTTAGTCGCTGTTAATGAACATTTGTTGACAAATAAGAATATGGTCGCTAAAGATTCCAAATATTTTTTAGAGAGAGAGACATTATATTGGCGCCTAGTATCCTATTGACACAAACTCTTTTTGAGTTCTGTTCTGTCTCACACAAACACTTTAGAGAGGTGGATAAAGAAATTTTCTCATACTGAAATTTAGCTTGATGATCTTGCAGTTGATATACAATTGTAGCTTCTTCATTAAGTGCGTGTGGAAATTCTTCCTTAGGCCGTGGATGCAGAGTAGGCATAGGTGATGGGCCACTAGCAAACAAACCAGCCCACCCAGAAGATTGTGCCATACCTAATAAAACAAATAAAAAAGAACAAAGTATACGTAAGCTAACAGAGTCAACAATACAAAGGAAAAAGATTGAGGCCTCGAATGTGGCTCGAATTGTTGTTGTTTTTCTTTTTTTTTTTCTTTTTTTTTTTTTTTTTTTTTTTTGGTTTTGGTTGTTCGTTGGTGCAAAGAAATAACAATGAAAAAAAAAAAGAAAAATAAAGTGAAAGAGAAATTAAAAAAAAAGAAAAAAAGAATTAGAAGATATGTGAAATCAAAATGAGAGAGTGAGGGAAAAAAAGAGATTGGGTCACGTGGGTCTTGGCCCACGGTGTTGGGAAAAGCTGCAATTCTGTTTTTTTTTTTTTTTTTTTTTTTTTTAAAACAAAAAACAAAATTTTTGAATGAAAAAAAAAATAATAATAAAAGAAAGAAAGGGGAGTGCAAAAGGGGGATAAGATGTGGTAATGATTACGAAAAAATAAAAATAAAAAAAAAAAAGAAAAGGAAAGTGGGGTGGGGGATGAGAGAGAAAGACGGTGGCGTGAGGGACATGCCCATGTGGGGCAAGTGCTTTAGCGTCTGTTCCAACAGAAAGTGTTTGGCTTTATCAGTCTCATCCACCATCTGATGCCCATTATCTATGAGCTGTCGAATTGGTATAGATGAAGCTAGCAAGACGGTGTGGGTCACATGGGTGAGTGGGAGAATCCTCAGAATCAGAAGCTGGGTTGAGAAGGCAATAGCGACCCAATCAGGCTGGGAAGAGGACCACTGCAACTGCTCGATGTCAGCACCGGCGGTGTAAGCGAGAATGGGATCCAAGCCACTCTCAAGGGGCTGGCCGATGGAGGACAAGTCCCAAAGGAGGGCCTGGGAATCGTCCCCGGCGGGGCAAATGGGGCAGGAGCTGTGAGGGGCCCAGGCAATGTGCATTCCTCCTGAGCTGTATAATTTGAGGTTTGCCTTTGCCCAAGGAATCACACGAACAGCAATGAAGTCAACAGCAAGGTTGATGGAGCTGATCTTGTCTGCTTCATTATCTGGAATCTCAAAACCAAACTCTTCTTCAGATGCCATCACGATCTCTACCGTGTCTAAACTATCCAACCCCAGATCATTCTGGAAATGGGCAGTTGGTGTAACCTTAGAAGGATCAACCTTCTGGAAGTTCTTGGCGACGGAGATGACTCAATCAGCCACCTCCGATTTGTCGAGGAAAGAGCCCCTCACCTCCTCCGAGAAGTGGCGTCGCACCAGATTACTCAATGACAGAGACAATGGGCTAAAATTAGGGTTTTGAGGTACGGACCAAACGTTAACTCTCAGGTATTTGAGAAGTGCGTTTCGCGCCGCCATTAAAGAAGATGAAGCTCCTGCTGTTTTGTTTTTGTTTGAAAGTAGTGAGAGAGAGAGAGAGAGAGAGAGAGAGAGAGAGAGAGAGAGAGAGAGAGAGAGAGGGGTGGGGGGTGAGGAAGAATTAATGGCAGAAACATAAATTATTATCAAATTAAAAAGTTGCTTTCAAAAAACTGTTGCGGCTGTTTTTGAAAACAAAACTTCCGTTTTCTGAAAAAATACTAAAAAAATATATATTGTCGAATCAATTATAAAAACTAATAAATTGGAGATTTTGTTTGTTGTTGCTTTAAGAAATTTTGAATTTTCAGGTGGGTGTGGCGTTGGTAAATTGGTGGTAGGTGATGGTAAATTTTAACAACATTCTATCTAAAGCGTATGAGGTCCCAAGCATGTCTTTTTGCTCTGCATAAAGCATGTCTCTTTGCTCTGCACTATCCCTAGCTGAAAAGTGGATTTAGATCGTGCCTGATATTCCAATCGTTCTTTCTTCTTTTGCTTTTCCTCCTTTCCCTATTGCATTGCATGTGACCTGAACATTCAGTAATGGTCCGCTGGAAGGCAGTAGGCACCACTTAACTGACTTGAGTGCCAACCAAGAGTTGTAGACCACATCTTTTGACAAAGGTATTTCACTCATTTGGGCTAATAATGATGTAAGAAGAGCTTGGCAAAAATAAAGGGAAAAGTCAATTTCACTAAATGTTTTGGGGTGTATCTCTTGAATTGGTTAAGATCTGCATAAGTCAACCTTTCAGAAAGTGCTGTAATATACAATTCACAGAAGCAGTAAAAACCAAAGCAATAGTAAGTTTGTGGGTGGTTGGGAAGGGCTCCCATCACAGTGTTTGAACGGAGAGAAAGTGAACAAAACAGAGTAATTGATCATTTTTCTTCAAGAATCTGCTAGTGATATAATTATTTGTCAAGTACTATCATGGTGGGGATTTTCATTAATCTAAACAATTTTTTCTCATTTATTTTCACCATTTGCAATCTTCTTGAATCCTTTGTTATCCATAATTAATAACATGTGCTTATTTCCTCTGTCATTTCAATCAATTCAACCAACCCCTACCCGCATGAAGAGCATTTTCTTTTTCTCTAATGGCTTGTTTCACCATATTTGTACAAGTGATATGTAAATCCGAAGTTATGCTCAAACAATTCCAAATCTGAAATTTGTTTTCATTGGTTTACTTGGGTCATAAATGTTTTGTGTCATGTTGCATTGCCCATCGATTTTCAGTATTTGGTTCCTTCTAGTAGTTTAAACATCACTTCATACAATTTTGTTTCTTCTTTACAAATTGTTAAAGGGTCTTTTTTTAGTAGAACTAATAATGTTTCTTTCAACTTAGCCATGGATGTCAAGAGCATACGACCCATGTACAGAGAGATATTCACAAGTGTACTTCAATCTTCCAGAAGTTCAGCATGCGCTTCACGCCAATGTCACTGATATTAGCTATCCATGGAAAACATGCAGGTGTGTTTTGCATATTGGAGTTTAAGTTAACATTTCACATATAGTTTGTTTTTTGTAACAGCGTCTCTGAAATAAATAACTTTTGCAGTGATATTGTTGGTAACTACTGGGGGGATTCACCATTATCCATGCTTCCTATTTATCAAGAATTAATAGCAGCTGGTCTCAGGATATGGGTATACAGGTACAACCCTTTTCTATTTTCCTTTTTTTTTTCCCCTCTTTTATTGCTACTAAAATTTATTGCCTTCCTTTAACTTAGCGCAAGGAAAGTTTTAGTTATTAGAATTCATGAACAGTTGGCATATCTCTGACAGCTTATGATATACAACAGATCAGAAATCGTTGGTTACTATTGAAAGGTTCTTCGAGATTGTAACCTGCATTTGTATTTTTATTGCTTCTGTAGAATCAACATCTTTTTTTATTTATTTATTTATAATGGAAAAGCTTTGGTCAATCAAACCCTCTTAGGATCTAGGAGATGTAATAAGTAGGTAGCCTTGCCCTTGATTTTTGTGTAGAGTCTGATTCCCTGACTCAACCCACCCCATAGTGTTAGGGCAGATGAGCACTTGACTCTGTTCCATGCCATGATCTCTACTAGGAAAAGCATTTGTTATATAATGAAAGTGTGGGAGAGGGTGATGAAACGCCGATTGCGAGACATTACAGAGGTGTCAGAGAATTAATTTGGGTTTATGCCTGGTAGGTCAACAATGGAAGCGATTTATCTTTTGAGAAGACTAATAGAAAAGTATAAAGAAAAGAAAAGAGACATTCATATGGTGTTTATCGACCTTGAGAAAGCATATGACAGAGTGCCTTGAGATATAATATGGTGGGTGTTAGAGAAGAAAGGGGTGACAAAAGGCTACATTGACGTGATTAGGGACATGTATGAAGGGTTGGTGACCACTATTAGATCGCCAGCTGGAGAGACAAATGAATTTCCTATCACTGTAGGGTTACACCAAGGATATTGATTTATCAATCTCACATTGCACTTTGCGAGATCAGATTAAGAATCGTGACATTCGAGTCCGAACTGTAGTGAGCCCAAATGAACAAAACGGGATTCCCTCCCGGGACGTTCGGGGACGTCTACACCAAGTACCTCATCGTTCATTTGGTTAGGCTTTTCCTTTTTATTCCAATGTACAGTACCATTGATTTAGGGACATCAAAGGGAGCATAGTTATGGACTAACAAGGGCATGACTAAATCTAACCTTTATGCACCTGTTGATGATAACCTTTATGCTAAGTTTACGGCGCTTTCCATGCCAACTCCCAACGTACGCGTGCTAATTACGTCCCGCATGTCCCCACAGGTCCTATTTGACATGAAGAAGCTACCCGTGCCATCTCTACAGTGGTTGAGGGGCTGCTTTCAATTTTCGGCCCTCAAAGGCCTTTTTCGGCTAATTTGACGGCGTTTTCATAAGACAACAAATAACCTAGATACTCTAATATTAACTGAACTAACATATTTTTCCAATATGACAATAATGAAGCTCGTAATTTTCCAACAGATTCAACATGGGCGATAGGGAGAAAAATACCCAGAATTATGTTGATTACAACCCTATAGAAATCAGATTATGCCATCAAGTGATTACAACCCTATGGAAATCAGATTACGCCAAAGGGAACTAACTTAATATTTCATTGAAATCGAGTGGTTACCTTATGGAAATCAGATTACAGTCTGTCTGCTACAAAGTCTACTCACATTACGCCTCAAAACCTATTCGAAGCACATAACAAAAAAGTTCTGCCATGAAGGCTTCGAACATTTCTTCTTCCACCATTTCTTTCTTTTGGCTTATGCCAATTTCTTCTTCCGTCTCGCTACCACTCTCCATCAGAGCTTTATCCAATCCTGCTAAACTAGCCTTCTCTCTGACTTTTAGTTTAGAATGGACCATAGCCAACTGTTCTCTGCTGCAACCCACCTTGCTTTGTAAAGTTGGCTTTAGAGTATGGTCTGACTTTGGATTCTTCTTTCCTTCGGCCTGGATCAATGAAGAACTCTCTCCACTTTCTTTCAGGTCTTGCTGGTACTGGGTGTACTTACGCTGAATTTTCCTCCTTTGTGATCTGGAAATTACGGGGACCATATCTGGTTCCTTCGTTCTTGGGTGTTTCAACAATACCAAGAAACAACATGTAGATAAGATGAGTGTGGCTGAGATGAGGATGCTAAGGTGGATGTGTGGTAAGACTAGACAAGACAAGATTAGGAATGAGTGTATTCGGGAATGGGTAGGAGTAGCACCGATAGAAGATAAGTTGAGAGAGAATCGTTTGAGATGGTTTGGTCATATTCAACGGAGACCAACAGAGGCAGTAGTGAAGAGATGCGATGCTGTAACGGTAGATGGAAGTGTTAGGGGACGGGGTAGGCCTAGATTAACGTTGACTAGCGTTATAAATAGAGATATGAATCTACTTAATTTGACTAATGAAATGGCCTTTGATAGGGCCGCGTGGAGAAGAAGGATTCATGTAGCCGACCCCATTTGATGGGACTTAAGGCTTGGTTTGGTTTGGTTTGGTTTATTAACTTTTGTGACTAGTGAAAGGCTTATTGAATTTTACGAACTCATTGTGTAAACATCTCAGGCTCGAGGATTAAAATTTTGTTTTAGTGTATTATTTCGATTATCTAGGAAACAAAAACATTTCGAAAAAGTTTTTTAAACATAAGGGAAGTGACAACAAATTACATAATTGTATGAGATCCTTTGACAAATAATGTGAAAATAATTTGAAACATAAACTAAAGCCTACATAAAAGTTTATACAAGCTCAAAATAATTACATCTTTGAAGATGTTTGAAGGCTACATTCTCTTTAGATAAATCGCACCAATGTATGTTGTGGAAGTAAATTCAATGTGTTCTAATAATCATTAAATTAATGTCAAACCAAGCAATCTTGTCAAGCACAAGTGAAGAAGAATCTAAATGTGCACAAGGTTTTAATAAAATAAGTTTTACAAAATTATCCTTAATAATAATAAAGGTTAATTAATGGGTTTCCAAGGCGCCATTTAGTAATGTTTGTAGTTTACTGTTTTTAGTTTACATAAAATATTAAACATGTTTATGTTTATTTTGGGTAAAAATGAAAACAAAAAACATGTTTGGTACACAAGTTTTTCAAAAATTTGTTATGAAAACAAATGTAAAGGGATGGCTGATGGTGGTGGTTGTCAACAGTTAGAAATGGTGGCTAGAGGTGATTGTTGGCCGTGGGAGGTGGTGGCCGAAGGTGATTGCTAGCCACATGAAGTGGTGGTCGAAAGTGATTGTCAATGGCCAGAGACGGTGGCTGGTCAGTTGCCTAAGGTGGTAGGTGAGGGTGGTTTTCAACAAGAGATGGTGGCTGATGGTAGTTACCACAGATAGGAGGTGGCAGCCACAGGTGGTTGGCAAAGGAGGTCATTGGTGATGGTAGCTGGTAGTGATGAGCAATGGGTTGTAGTAAAAAACGGTGGGAGAAAGAGGAACAAATGAAAAATAAATAAATAAACAATTGAAACAAACATTTTTGTATTTACAACCTTCTGAAAATGAAAACAAAAACCTAACAAGTTTCTGTTTAAAGTTTTTAAAAATTTTGTAGATATAAACTAAAACTTTAAATATAAAAGTTACCAAATAGGCCCTAAGTGTGTGAGATCCTTTGAGAAACGTGGTTAAATTTGATTTTTAACCAAATTAAAAGTAAGGTTCAATTATAAATAAAAATTTGAAGCATCGAAAGGGATGTTACCCATGTACAAATAAAAATAAAAATAAAAAAAGGGTTAAAAGTTAGTTGAGGAAAGGGGCTTGCCATTATCATAAGAGAACATAAGAAATGTTATATTCTAGTAGTTGTAGGGATAAGAAAAAGAAAAAGAAAGTACCAGTCATAAATTTATAAAAAGGAACAAGAGAATAAAAAATTTACCCTCTTCTCCTTTCCCTTTTCTACAATTTTCTAATAAAATTAATATATATTTTTATTTGTAAGTATTTTCTTTTAACAAAAAGAGGCAAATAAACATAACTCTTGTTAAATATTCCTAATAGGTATCAAATCAACTCATTATTTCAGAATGTTTTGTAGTATTTCACTGAGTTTCAGTGCACTTTGGTATGTTACAGTGGAAACATTGGAATTTTGATCTTCTACTAATGGTTCATATTGTTAAATGTTTTGACCGTTTTGGCAGTAACAAAATAAAATTTTATTCCTTGCTCAAAGTATTGGTGAACCATGCTATAATGACATTCTGTGTTACAACTAGCAAATTTATGCACATATTGGCTATAATGAGATAAATCTAATTGATGTTGTTTCATTTGGTTAATTTGAAGGCTTGCAAACCTCTTTAGGTGTTTTTGCTGCATATTGGCATTATTAAACACAGGACCAACATTGATATTGCATCATAAAAAGAGACATCTAATGTTTGCAATATCAACATTTTCAATATTTAAGGTAGCTCATTGTTGATATCGTTGTACATCTAAATACTGAAATGAGCAGATGGTGGTTTCAAGCAAGAAACATCATCAAATATGATAATTGTAAAAATGAAACATAATGCAAAAACTATCGGATACAACTAAATGTCAATGAACATGGATAGTGACTTAAAAATTAAAATAAAAAAGAAAAAGAAAAGAAGAGGGATATGCCTTATCAACCATAACTGTTGAAAGTCTATCTTTTCCGATGCACTACTTGTGAGATGTGTACAAATCTACCTTTTGTAACTAGGCCTTCATTTAGATTTCTAGAACCTTGGTTGGTAAAAACATATTTGATATGGAACCAATGTCAACCCACAGGTAGCTTGCCTAGTCTGTCTTCATGTCCATTTCTTTTTTGTTTTTGGTGTTTTATTAAAGGTTTCTACATGCTTAAAATGAATAAAGCCAGTTTTCCGGTAGCTGGTATTGTTCTTTTTAATCACATTGATTTGTCTATCATGATCATTCTTATAAGGATGCCCTTATAGTTAATCAGTTATGTTAATTTGCATGATCTACTGGCAAGGTTTTGAAGTTTGCTTCTGAGATCAGTTTTCTTCTTCATCAATTCAAAATGTCATCCGTAAATTTTGGGAAAATACATGATACTTGTAACATGAAATATCTAGATGAGTTGGTAAGAAGTAGGTAAGAAGTACTTTCAGTTCTCTTTTATTCAAGACTTGCAAGATTTATGAAATAAAATATGTTGAAATTACGGCAAAATTGATTTCCTATGTTTGACTGTTTATGACATGTGTAAATTTTATGAATACCAATCATGCCACTCTAGAAGCAACATTTAAAATTGATATCAGTACTTCACAAAGTTACTTCACTTGGTTCTCTATTGACAATTAAACAATCTCCAACCACATCCTGACCCTTGAGGTTTTTTAAGAGGCAGAGTATCAACAGATAGTATTATTGCAGAAGTGCAAATCAATCTTTGCAGTAAAAAAGCCAGCTTTGTTTTGACTTTATATGGAGAAACTCAAGGATGAGACATTGATATTTGTAATATCCTCTTAAATATAAAAGTTAGTACAACAACATTATTCAATAGCTATTTGACAATTACTTTAAGCAAAGACAACTATTTTAAGTTTAAAAAATCAAGCATTAGATGTGTATAACTGAACGTGCTCGTGTGTGACTTGTGTGTGTCATGCTATGCAAATTCAATTAGAACTTCATTTTGAGTGATGCCAAAATACCCCATTCATTGTGTTGTTATTCTGGAGTTTGTTGGATCTTCTACAGCTGATTTGTTCAGTCTTCTATAGTTGAAAACAAATAACAAAGTTCGACACTTCATTTTTGTCTCCTATTTTTTGTTTAATTGGTCGTGCTTAATAATTCATTGAGATTAATTTCTTTGTTCAGTGGAGACACTGATGCAGTGGTTCCTGTTACTGCAACTCGATACTCCATTGATGCCTTGAAGCTTCCAACTATTACCAACTGGTCCCCGTGGTATGACAATGGAAAGGTAGGTTAGTTTTAAGGACTAGTTTGTGTTACCATACAGCAATTTTGGATCTCTATTTCTGGCACAATCCTTAAACTGCTGTTATTTATTTATTTATTTATTTATGTTCCATGATAAATTTGCTGAACAATAAGGTGTTACTAATTATCATAATTTAAAATTGATGGCACATCATCACATCACATGGTATCTTCTTTTTGTATTGATTTTAAGTCACTTTTCAATGGCCCCCTTAATCATGTACAAGGAATTTCCATTTTAAGTAATGGGAAGCAGGGCCACTAGTTTACTGGTTAAAATTCACCCTAACAACTTTGTGGTCGTGAGTTTGAAGATAACGCTCAAATGTTAGGTGTGTGCCCAGTCTATCTCTTTCAGACCTCCATTAATGGAAACTAAAAAGTGAGTATATATAGCATTTTATAAATAAATAAATAAAAAATAACTTTCTTTGTTGTTTCGTTGGTGTTAAACTCTTCCTTGCTCCTTCCTAAATCTTTCATTTCAATTTTTTTTTTGTCCTATTTTATTCACTCATTTCTGTAATTCATTTCTTATTACTTATTTATGAATGGTTGGTTTTATTGTTTTTGACCATAGGTTGGTGGCTGGAGCCAAGTATACAAAGGGCTGACTCTTGTAACAGTGACCGGAGCAGGACATGAGGTTCCTCTTCACCGCCCTCGACAAGCTTATATTCTTTTCAGATCATTTCTGGGTAACAAGCCCATGCCAAGCTAAAAACAAAAATAAAAAAAAATAAAATAAAAACTACTTGGTTTAGCTTATTTAATTCATGAAAATTTATAGAAATCTTAATTTATTGAGGCTAAGAAGAATGAATATTTAAGGGGACCAACACTGGGTTGTGTCCTCTGCATCCTCCATTGACGATTGTCAAAGGAAAAAATATTTCTTCAAGATTCGAGTGTCTGGAGTAGAAAATTCTATTCTTTTCAGGTTTGTTTTTTTTTGGATTCATAAATCATGTAAGTGTAATTTATACACTGTTTTGAGGTTTACTCATTAGAAGTGTACATGATTGAACATTCTCCTCCATGGTTTCCAAAAGATTTTTGGTAAAATATTATTTTAATCTTAATAATGTTCTATTGAATCGTGATCGGTAAAACTGTAGCTTTCTTGATTGGTATTTTTAATGTATTTCTCTCTATAAATGTGGAAAAATTAACAGTGGATTTATTTTTTAAGGATTTTGTAAACAAGTACTGACAATTGTTAATAAACTTAAAACAATTGTACATTCTCCATGAGAGTAAGTGTCATAAAGAATTTTTAATTATTTTAAGCTCATTAAGGCACCGTTTGGGAAGAAGTTGGTTGGGCTTTTTTGGCTATTTTAGTCATAAAAAATAAAATAGGCTATTTTAGCCATAACAAACAAAACATCACATCTAACCCATAATCATTACACTCTTCTCTCACAAAAAAAGTCAAAAAAGTCCAAAAAGCCCTTCCCAAACCAAGATCTTGGGACAATTACCCCCCCCCCACATCAACACAAAAAAAAAAAAAAAAAAAAAAAAAAAAAAACAAACAAACAAACAAACAAGGTTTGATCTCTTTAACGAAATAAATCATGAGTTTTGAATTTTATTAATTTAAATTCTAATATTTTGATTTGTTTTCAATCTAAATGTTTGATCTATTTTCATTAAGTAAAAGTGACATAAAAACAATATTTTAGTCACTAAACTTAGGTATACATAAAATATATGAAATATAATTTTTCATTGAGTTTAATGATTAAAATATTTAATTTTTTCATCAATTTTACTTAATGAAAAAAAACAAATAGTTTAGATTGAAAATAAATTAAAAATTTTGAGTTTATTTTGTTATAAGAGTTAAACTTTATATATATATATATATATATATTTATCTGAAGAAAATTTTATTCAAGAAAGTCAATCGACACTCATAAGAGTTCATCCAATCCAAAATTTACATCAAACAAAGTAAAAATATAGCAAGAAGCACAAAGGAGAGAGAATTATAAAAATATTTAGAGGCACATCTCGTGCTGCAAAACAGAATTGATCATAAAAGTTTGACAATAAAGTATGTCTGAAATAAATCATAGATTTCAACCACAAAGAGAGGGTAAGCTTAACAATTCCACACTGATGATGGACTCCAACTAACCAAACAAATATCAAAATAAAACATAAAAGAAACCAAAAAACAAAACAAACCCACAACCAAACAAACTATCGACAGCGGTAGCAGCAGCGGCAACGGCAAATCCGATAGTGGTGAAGGTGACAGATTAAAAGAAGAGGGGCTGTGATTCCAGTGGAGAAAATGGGGATCTTGGAAACATCCAGTAGATTTGGGGAAGCGGGCGATGATAGTTGAAATAGGTAGAAGACAAGGATGTGGCGTCAGCGGGAGGCTGAGAAAAGGCGTGACGGCGAATTCGTGAAGGCTATGGCCAGAGTTGAAGGGAATGGAAGAAAGAAAACACCTCACAAAAGAGGGAGATGATGGATAGTCAAAGCTTCTGAGTTATTGGGTCGAAATCCATATAAATTGAGGTATTCAAATCTGTCCAGGAAACCAGTCCGAAACAGTAAATTCGGGATTGTTGTTCTCTTTGGGTATAAATCCAAAAATTATCAAATTAGTGTCAATAGAACCGGTTACGAGTCTAGTTTCGCGTGTGCCTTGGGCTAAGTCCCTGTGGGCCACGGCCGGTCATGCCCGGATTTGGGGTGTGACATAGCAAAGTAAGGAAAAGAGAGAAAAGAGAGGTAGGGAGAGGGGAGATGAGATAGAAGCTACTAGAAAACCCCTCCCCCACCCCCAATTGTCGCAGCCTTTAAAAACTCTGGAAAAGAAAAATCTAGAGAGAGGAGCTCTCAACTAGAGAAAGAAATTGATATAGTCCGTTATAAGAGTCAAACCTTAAGTTTTGTTTTTCCTCCAAAACCTTTATTTTAAAATTATTTGAAAACAAATTAATGGTAATTTTGTCCAATAATTTGTTAGGGAAAATCGATGATTCTCCACAAGTAAATCAATCAATGAGAATAAAAACTAATGCGGAAAAATTAAATCAAAAACAACACAAGAATTTTTACGTGGTTCCCTCAATGTGAGGTACGTCCACGGGATCGAAATCCGATTCCACTATCAACCAAATAAGTTCCAAACGATTACAAACGAGACACGAATGGTCTCACAAAACCACCCTTAGGTGAATTCCAAATAATCACAAATAAACAAGAGGAAAGACCTCACCAAATAGAAGAACCAAAATCTTCAAAATCAAAATTGTAGAAAACCCAAAATAATGTACCAAATCAGCTTCACCAAAACACCTAGCCGAAGATGCACCAAAGCACTCCCACTGATTTGATTGATTTCAAATTGCACTGTATTAGCCGCAACACGTCTTCATAAGAACTAAACAATATATATATATATATATATAAATTATATGAAATTGATAGCTAACACTATCCCCCGAAGAATTCACTGCTGCCGCTTTTATTCCACTGCACACACAAAACAATATATATATATATATATATATATTATATGAAATTGATAGCTAACATCTCACAAAATTTTCAAAATGTAAATGTAATTCCTTGATATAATTTTTTAAGCAAAAAAAATAAAAATTCAATTATTAATCAAGGTGAGAAAAAATGTTCATATGTTTTGTTTGAATTAATTTTAAGGTTTAATTTGTAAAAATAGTTTGAATGAGAAAAACACAACAAAAAATTAAGGTTTTAGAGATTAAAATTTAGAAACAAAATTATTTTTTAGGGACCAAATAATTTTGTTGCGAAAAGTGTTGTCATTATATTTTTAGCAACAAAAATTGGACATTAGTGA